TTTCTTTTTCTTTCTTTCTTTCTCTTTCTTTCTTTCTTTCTTTCTTTCTTTCTTTCTTTCTTTCTTTCTTTCTTTCTTTTTCTTCCTTCCTTCCTTCCTTCCTTCCTTCCTTCCTTCCTTCATTTTCTTTCTTTGAGACAGGGTCTGGTTATGCAGTTCAGGCTGGCCCCACTATGGAGCCCAAGCTGGCCTCAAACTCACGGCAATCCTCTTGCCTCAGCCTCCCAAGTGCCGAGATTACAGGCATGCACCACTACCCGAGGCCCTCAGTTTCTCACCTATGTAAAAAAAAATTCATTAATGGAGACAGTAAGCCTACTTCATAGGCAAACAATAAACAAGACAGTTATACGGAGCAAGTAGTACAGTGTGATACCCACAAAATAAGTTTCTCCTTGGCAATTTATCTTTCATGTACTGACCTGAACACCTATCCCATTGGATCGAACGCTTTCTTATCAATGTTTTGGAGATTATGATGTCCTGATTTTCTGACCTTCATTCCACCTTGAGAGCAACCATCCTCCAGAGAGTTACAGTAAAATAGGGGGACTTAGGAATCAATGAACTGCTTTCCTGGGCTGATATTATAACTCTTATAACTGTGGAATCTTCCTCTTTTGAGGCAAAGTCCTTCTTTGTCACAGTGGGGTCCCCGAGATGCAGATTAAGTTTTGGCGCAATAAGGCCGAAAGACATCACTAGATCAAGTCACTCTGCAGTATTTCCATTGAGGTTAGTATTTACCCATATTGCTGATTAGGAGACTGAGGCTAGGAGAAGAAAGAGAAATGAGCTCAAAATCACAGAGCGTGTGAGTGGCAGTCAGATCTGAAACCAGAATTTCTGACTCTCTCATCCCCTTTCTACTGCATCCCAGTTGTCCAGAAACACCAGTGAATATAAGTACCAAACACAGATCTTCTCGCAAAGACACGAGCGAGTTTGTGACTTTACCCGTGTATGAGGTCGGACTGAGAGCCCACGCAGTTCATTAGAGAACTTCCAGTCTCTCCACGAGCGGCAAAGACCCTTCCTCCTGAGTGTCCACAGAACTAGCGAGCGTGCTGGGAAACGTGCTGCCCCCCTCCTACTGGGACAGGTTTGGGCGAGAGTACAGCATCTTGACAACCCACTCAAACTGACTCATAGTAACTGGCAGCAAATTATCATTCCCTGACAGGGTAAGTCCTTGAGCCTCTGCAGACTTGGAAGGGAGACTCAATAGCGGAACTAGCTATTCCGAAGCCAAGGGGTCCCAGAAGGTATGGAATCAATTCCATCCAGATGTTTGAATTGGTTTTCTTTTCTTCTTTTCCCATCATAGGCAGAGTGAACAAGTTGTTTTCACCTTCTCAAGCAAAGCGGGGAGAACACAGCTCCCTTCTTTTCCGGGTGTGTCTGCACCAAAGGATTGGGAGGCTAACACCGTCTGAGCAAGACGGGGTGGCGTCTGAATTAGGACAGCACTTCGTACACATGGCAGAATCAGCAGGCAGGTAGAGGGCACTGAAACACTTCGGCAGCTCCCGTTAGAGTTCTGCACGTTCACTCTGATTTATGGATTTATGGCTTCTGAAGTGTTTACCTGCATTGTAGGGAGCCCATCTGTTTTGAAACCCTTGTAGGAAACGATGGCCCTGCAAATTGGCCCAACAAGTACTGTGCACATTGCTTCCCTGGGAAGGGAAAGGCTGACTTAGGCTTCAGTACAAACTCTTTCTCAGGGCAGCTGAGCAGCCTGAACGTCGGGGAAGCTTTGCTGTGCTGTGTGGTGACAGCGGGGGTCATTAGATACCTCACAAAACTTGCTCCAGCAGCCCAGCTGTCCTGGGGTTAGCTCTTGCTGTGGGTCTGTGAGGAGGAAAAACAGATCTTCCTGCGCTGCAGCCTCCTTTGACTCCCCTTCACCCCACACCTGAGCTCCTGCTCCCTGGAAAGAAACCTGAGGGAAGACCGTGGCAGCAGAGTGGGGGTCTTGCGGGGGCTGCCTCGGACCCGCGCTGGGAGCAGGAGCTACTGTAGAAAGCAGTGCTGAGAGAGAGAAGGACCAGGAAGAAAGAACACTGGGAGGTGGGATTGCCAGGGCAGCAAGGACCTTACTTTCCTCCCTGCACAAAGGTATGATTGGCAAGGTGAATCTTTTCATCTGGATCGGTGCATTGTAGGAGTTTTCTATTGGTGCAGAGCAAGAGTCTCACCTATTCATTAGATTAAATCCATGAGCAAGAAAACAAAAAACACTTTTGAGGTATTTTACTGAATATTCATATCTCCCTTCAGAAATGTTTGTTTTGGTGCTTTTACATTTTGAGTCTAATCTGCAATGGAAAATATGCTTCAAAGGAACAGAAAAAAAGCAAACAAAACCACCCAACACACTTGTGTGTCTTGCGTTTTGACCCAACCCACTGAACAACTGGAAGAGTCTCCACAGACCACCAGAGATCCTCGATTCTGTCTGGAGAACCATCGATCTGAAAGCTACATCTTGACTGCGGAACCTTTTCATCTGGGATTATCTGTTATTGACCGCAGAGAGCGGCTACTGGCGATTCCTGTGACAGGGCCCTGTACAGCAAGAGGTGGGTGTTTTAGCATAGCACAAAATCTGACTGACATAGGTATCTCTGCAGGCTCGACTTCTTCATCTCCTCCTTGTCCTTCTCCCCTCGTTTCCCCCCTGTACTACTTCCTCATCATTTTATTTTCTTTTTCTTCATTCTATAGTAAAATTTATTTTTTTCCTTAAGGGTTTGGATGAGTTTGGCCTGTTATTTTCTTCTACTTGCAGTTTCCAAATTAGGATTTCTTTTTGGATGCAGAACTTTCCAAAATTTCTAAGCACCTAAATTATTATAAAAGCAGCTGGCCACTGCTCATGCATTGTGAACTGGCAGCCAAGAAGGTACCAGAAAAGAGAAGGCTTCAGGTCTGGGTCTGTACCCTTTGCTAGGGTAAAATGCAGAGACCCGCTGAGATAGTGTAGAAGGAAGTTTCCTCACGGAAGCGGCACGGACAGTCAGAAGAGCCAACCCAGGCATTCGTGGAACCACGAACGGTGCCTGGAAGTACACTATTAGGAATCTCCCAACTGAGCTGAGCTCTGACAAGGAGATGGTTCTTCGGCTCCTACTGCTCTTTGAAAATAAAGGAAAAGAATCAGACTCACACTGAAGTTACAGAGTGTGTCTGTTTTGATTCCCTTAAGCCACAGAGATCCCGTTTAAGTGTAGGAGCACTAATAACTGATGGCTTCACTTTGGACGCAACCCTCTGCATGACAGCTCCATGCAAAGGCAATTATCAGGAATAAGGGCTCATTACAGCCTTTTGATTTGGTTTCTCCGGTGTCCTGTCAGACAGATGAGAAAAGGAAACTGATCCTAACTCAAAAGAAGTAAAGTACAGGTTAAAGTATTTGGTTTCAGCCTCTGTCAGTTTGAGGCTTTGAAAAACAGAATTCCGTGTACCCAGGAAACTAAATACCAAATCCTATTGCTTTAGACCCCTTGCAGAATCAAGGACATAATAAGGAAATGTGTACCCAAATTGAGATGATTGCTCATGATAGGATGTTACAGTGCCCAGTGCAGTAACCCTCATTTTGGGTAAGTAGCTTTGGGTGGGAGTGCAGTCTTTCAAAGAGGCCATGAAATTTGAAGTAACATCCAACTTGCCCGATCCTGACTGCACCTTGAGCGTCTCTCTCTCCCAAGCGCTCCTGCACATGTGTGAGCACGCGGGCGTCAGGCACACATGCTGGCTGTTAGAGTCGGGCTCGGGAAGCACCGGAAGCAAATGTGGAGAGCTGGGCAAAGTAGGTAAACGATGAGAGCCAGGCCACTCATCAGAAAGAGGGACGCGTTCTTAGAGAAAAAAATAGGAACGAAGAAGAGCGGAAGCCTGAGAGCAGGGTTGCGGGCAGGGCAGCGTCTTTGACTGATACGAGAAAGAGTACAATGTGGATGAAAATGCACACAAAGAAATAGATTAAGAGCGGAGAGAAAACTGACTTCAGGTGGCTTGAGATTTATTCAAATGTTGGGAGGAAATCAAAAGTAACTGTAAAGCCAGAGTCTGTATCCAGTTTAAATACCTGTACAGCCGACTCCAGGGATAATGTAGTCTTAGACCTGTTAGAGGCCTGCACTTTGCTCTGAGCAGGGCAGATCTCTGGAGGAAGAAGAAGAATGAGGACTTGCATGGAGAGAAGTTCCGGAGCCCCTGGTTGGCCTCCGCAAAGGTAGGACTGAACCCAGAAATTGTCTGCTGGATAGTCAGCAGTCTCAGCTCCACTGGCCCCAAACCTGTGCTCACAGCATTTCTTTTTGCATTTGGTTGATGAATAGTTTGGAGCACAAGTACTAAATCTGAACCTTTCTAAACCACTGTTTGAATCTTGTTGAGAGATGGGGGAGTATGTCTTCTGCTTTTTCAGAAATATTCTTGCAGACAGTGCATCAGCATCTAACTGCCTGTGAGGCTTTAATCTGCACATTTGCCTGCTTGGGGATGCCATCTTTCTATCCATTTACTGGAAAGACAAGAACAATTAGCTTTTCTACTTGCAGGGACACTTGTGTGTAAAATGACAGCCTAACAAGATCTGCCTTACAATGGGTGAGACCCTGTAGCTGTGTCTGTTACATTTTTTACCTGATGGTTTAACTTTTTAAAATCATCATCTCCCTTTCTCCTGAACTTCTAAATGTTCTGGATACACTTATTTTCTTTGAAGTAAAATTTTTATTGTAAGAGAACAGAACCACAGAAAAGTGTTATGCTTAATGAATTTCCATCCTGTGAACACATTCAGAAAACCAGAACCTAGGTTTAGAAATGGGACATGACCAGCACCTAAAAGGCCCCCATTTCCCCTTCAAGTCCTTCCTCCTCCCAAGAGTAACCAATAACCTGACTTGTAACCCCACAAATTAAGTTTTGCCTCTTTGAAGTCTTCCGCTATGTGTGCACATATTTTTATGAGTGCGTTTTTATGTGTGGCTTCTTTTGCGCTTTTCAACATATTGGGCGATTTTATGTTATGCTTTATATGTTGGAAAGTTCCATTCATTTCTCACATGTAAACCAACATTGCAGCCGGATTTTAGGTGTGAGTCAGAGGCAGGCGCTATGGAACCTTTGTCTTGTTTCACAAGTGACTGAGAGGATCAAGTGATTGATAAACATATAAGACATTTCTGCTCACTCATAGTTCTTGATTTCTTCGGGATTGTTCATTCCAGGTGACTTCTTGGTCCTATAATGGTTGTGTCTGGGGCAAGATAAGATTTTATTAGATCCCATGACACTTTTTCCTGTTAACATTTTCTATATTATTATATTTTTATATTTCAAAGTTCCATTAAATTATCTCTGCCTTTCATTTCTATTATAAAATTAATTTAAATTTTACCATTTTTTCTATTTACTTATTCAGTCACTTTCTGCTGCTGGAGATTAAACCCCGGGCCACCTGCATATGCATACTAGCCCTCACTTTAAACCATGTATTTTTTTTTTCTCCCTTCATGACCTTTTTCATTGTATGTATCAGATTCTTCTAAGAAATTTTGCTCTCCTGCAGATAAATTTGGTTGAAGGCACATGTTCCTCAGTTATCTTTTCTATATTTTCTTAGTAATCACCTTCTTCCTTCCTCCAGCCTCAGAGAATGTGTTATTAATTCAACTAATAAATATTTTTTAAGGTCTTTCTATGTGGCAGTCTATATTCTAGACAGTGTCAATGTTGAAATGAAGGAAAAAAAGATTAAAAATGGAGGAAAGGGCCTGGTATATAGCTCAGTGGCACAAGTGCCTGCCTGGCAAGAGTACGGTCCTGAGTTCGATTCCCAGTACAAAAAAAAGGAGGAAAATGAAAAATGAAGTTTGAACAACATCAAAGCCAAAAACAAAATTGTAACTGACAATGAGAGGGCTAAAAAGTAAATAAATAGGATAATACCAAGGAGTAATTTTAAAGAGTTTATTTTAGATAGATCAGCAGGAAAGAGCTCTGTGAGAGGTAATGTAGAGATAAGACCCTACGAATAAGAATAAGCCAAGTACGCAGAAAGCTAGGTCTCGAGTGATTTAAACGAGGAAGCAGCAAGTACCGAGGCCTTGGAGGTAGAAAAGGGCTTGGCGTGGAAGCAAGACCAGTGTGACTGTAGGGTTGGGGTTGGGTTTGGGGTAAAGATCAAGGAGGAGAGAATGATGTGTTGAAAAAGAGAGGTAGAGGCCAGACCAAGCAGGCTCTTGTAAACTGTGGTCAAGAGTTTGGATTTTAATGATAGGAAGGTAAGAGTTTTAAACAGGTTTGTAATATATCCTAATTTTCTCTTTTTTAAAAAATGTAGATAGAAGGCTGGGTGTGGTGGACATGCCTATAGTCCCCGCACTTGGGATGCTGAGACAGGAGGATCACTGCAAGTTTGAGACCAGCCTGGGCTATAAAGTGAGTTCAAGGACAGCCTGCACTGCATAGTGAAGGCTTGTCTCAAAAAGAGAAAAATAAAAGGAAGAAAACATGTCGATATATTTTACATACAGGGAAATACGTGGAATATCTATAGTGTGATGAGACAGTTGCTCTGCTAGAGGAGTTTCTAATATGGACAAAGCATTTTTGTTTGCTTGCTTTTTGTTTTTTCACAATAGATCTCAGTATATTTCCCAGGCAAGCCTCAAATTCCTAGGCTCAGATGATCCTTCTGCCTCAGCCTCCCCAGTAGCTCCCACTGCTGTGCCTAATTGCAAAATATTTTTATATTCCCAACAGCAATTATCATAGGAATTCTCTTTTCATTCTCACCAACATTTGTTAATAATGGCTTTTTATTTTAATGCTTTAAGGGATTTCTGTGAATATGGTATCTCCTCAGTTTAATTTATGTTTCTTTGATCCATAATAGTGTTTAGATTTTTCGTGTATTTATTGGCCATTTTTATGGCTTCTTTTTGAAGAATCCTTCCCAAATTTTAGCCCACTTGTCAGTTGAGTAGTTTGTCTTCATTATTATTATTACTGTGTTATTTTGTGGTACTAGGGATGGAACCCAGGGACTTTGGCCTGCACTATATCCCCAGGCCTTTTCCTATTTTTTATTTTGAGACAGGGTCTTGCTAAGTCACTGTTAAGTTGCCCAGGCTGGGCTCGAACTTACCACCTTCCTGCCTTAGTCTCACAGAGTGCTGGGATCACAGAGGTGCAGCACCATGCCTGGCTATGTGATTATTATTGATTGGAAGTTGTTTATATATCTGTCATATATACATATTATATCTTATCCTAGGCTAAGGTCTGTCTATTTATTTTACTAATAGTGCCTTTTGAAGACCAGTACAAATAACAAACAAAGAAAACACATGTACTTTGAAATGATTTCAAATCAATGGAAAAATAAATATGCAGTTTGGTGACTTGACCCTTTTATTGTTATGCAGTACCTCTACTTACCTCTGTTAATTTTTGTTGCTATTTGTCTTACAGTAATATAGCCACTGAGATTTCCATTGGCCAGTGTTATGGATTTTCTCATCATTTTACTTTTAATTTAGTTATATAAGTATATTTGAAG